AATAAGGGATGGGCAATAAATGCTGCCTGGCCAGCAACATCCTCATCCCGTTAATGAAGAAAGAAAAAATATACATCCCCATTCTGCTGGGACAGTCCATGTTCATCACTCACTATCCCAGTCTCCAGTTTGCTGAAATGAGCCAGCTTTCACCTGTTCTGTTTCTGTCAATTCTTGCTTATTCCTGGAGACCTGGGTGTCAGTGACTGAGGCAGCATTTACTGTCTCAGTTTGCCCAGAGGGAAGTTAAGAGTCACCCACATTGCTGTGGGTCTGGAGTCACGTGTGGGCCAGACTGGATAAGGATGGCAGTTTCCTTCCCTAAAGGATATCAGTGAATCTGATGGGTTTTACAACAATTGACAGCAATTGCCATTAGACTAGCTTTTCAAGCCTGGGTTTTTATTCAGATCTCCCGTGCTGAGATTCGAACCCATTCTCACAACATAAGCCTGGGGTTCAGAATTACTAGTCCAGTGACATTATCACTACCACCCCCAATATAAACAGTGGGGAGTGGGACAGTCAGGATGGGGGGGGGGGGGGGGGGGGGGGTTTTTTAAACCCTTGCCCCTTGACCTGTAAGCACCTTGAGCATTAGCCCCCCACCATCCCGCGCCCCCCCAGCCCCACTGCTGCCATCTCCATCACTGCTGCCTTTCTACCCCTGTCAGTTCCAAGTGCAGCCTTTAACACTCATCAACTGAAAACTGTTGCCAACTCTGTCTGGCCCCATTCCAGGAGATGGCATCACATGACTGTCATCTCCACTTCCCCCACACCCACAACCCAGGCTGCTTCCATTGGACATCCAGCATGTCAGTCATCACAGACCCCTGCCTCCGCACGCCTTGGTTTTGAAGTTTTGGGCGTTTTCCCACCCGGTGCACAGGCAGATCCCACAAACACCGACACTGCTCTGCTCCTCACTCAGATCTCAGATGAACAACCAATAGAACTGGGCAGTGCACAGTCCCTGGAATCCAACTGATCACCAAATTCAGCCCAATAGCTCACTGTAAGATTTTCAACGGGACTGTCTCCACACGGGACCTCACCCCCCCCCAGGGAACTTTTCCTGATTTACTTTCTTCTACATTTTACCAATTAATTCAAATCTACAGCCTCTGCCCACTGACCCCTGTCCCACAGGCAACAATTTTCCACACTTGTTCACTCAACGCTCCAAATGAATTCAAATCCCTCCATTAAATCAGTCCCTTTAACACCCCTCCAACCCCCGCATGAAGAAGAATAATCACAGCTTCTCCAGTCTTTCCACATTCTGTGAGATCCCTCACCCACACAGAGGCCAACTGAGGCTCCCACTGGGTGTTTTTAAGATAGAGATCAAGAGTTATGGGGAGAGGGCAGCAGAGTAAGGGGGAGCAGATTTAGGACTGAGTTGAGGAGGAATTTCTTCACCCAAAGGGTTGTGAATCTGTGGAATTCCCTGCTCAGCGAAACAGTTGAGGCTACCTTATTTAATATTTTTAAGGCAAAGATATATTGATTTTTGAACAGTGAGGGAATTAAGGGTTATGGTGAATGGGTGGGTAAGTGGAGCTGAGACCACAGAAAGATCAGCCATGATCTTATTGAACAGTGAAGCAGGCTCAATGGGCCAAATGGCCTACTCCTCTCCTATTTCTTATGTTCTTATGAACGGGGTTGAGAAGCATATCAGACATAATCGAAAAATGGAGCAGACTTGATGGGCCTAAATGGACTATATTTTACAGTCTATTTCAAATACTACTTTATCAGGTCCACGATGCTTTGGGACACTGATGTTTGGTAGGCGCTCCTTAAATGCAAGTCCTTTTTCCCTCTCATGTGGAGGCAGTGGCTAGTAATCTATCAGCCCAGGCTAATGCTCTGGGGATGTAGGTTCAAATCTCACCTCAGCAGCTCATGGAATTTAGATTCAATTCATAAATCTAGAATATAATATAAGTCTCAGTGATGGTGACTGTGTCACCAAAAACCCACTTGGTTCACTAATGCCCTTTAGGGAAGGAAACTGCGATCGTTACCTGGTCTGGCCTACATGTGACTCCAGACCCACAGCAATGTGGATGACTCTGATACTGCCCTCTGAAATGGCTGAGCAAGGTGCTCAGGTTAGGGAACGATTAGGTAACAGATGCAGATTGGAGCGTCTGGGTCACATCGAAGTCAGCTCGTTCTGTTTTGCTTCAGGAGCGAAGGGGCATGCTTCTGCAAACAAAATTAAAGTCACCGTAGTCCTACCAGACCATAGTGCCACTGTCTCATTAGACAGAGAGAGACACAGACACAATTGGTGCTGGTTTAACCTGAGGGTCAGGGCGCTTCAGATGAGGAGAGAGTGTTGGGAAGGAGAGTCCTTCGTGAAGTAGGAGTTGATCTCATGCTGTTGGCATTTCTCCGCTTTGCAAACCAGCCATCAAACCAATGGAGCTAACACAGTGTGGTGCTGGAGGAACATAGCAGGCCAGGCAGCATCAGAGGAGCAGGAAAGCTGATGTTTTGGGAAGAAGGGTCCCGACCTGAAACGTCAGCCTTCCTGCTCCTCTGATGCTGCCTGGCCTGCTGTGTTCCTCCAGCTCCACTCTGCGTTATCTCTGACTCCAGCATCTGCAGTTCTTACTATCTTCCACCAATGAGGCAAACTGACAGCTTATATCTTTATTCATTCTTAGAATCCACATATCACTGTCTGGGCCCAGCATTTATTACCCGTCCCTAGTTGCCCCTTGAGAAGTGGGGGTGAGCTGCCTTCTCGAACCGCTGCAGTCCATGTGCTCTGGGTTGACCCACAATGTCCCTTAGGGAGGGAATTCCAGGATTTTGACCCAGCGACAGTGAAGGAACGGTGATATATTTCCAAGTCAGGATGGTGAGTGGCTTGGGGGGACCTTGCAGGTTTTCCTAAGTACCTGGGTTCTTATTCCCGTTCTCGGTTATTTCACACACGAGGGACCGGTAATAAAGACAAGGATGGCTGTTCCCCGGAAGAACACAGGTCTCAACACCATCACCTCCCATTCCAACTCAATCCCCTCCCTCCCACCAAACCAACACCTGCACCCCCCCCCCCCGCCCCGATCCCCCACCAACAACTGCACCCCACCACCACACCCTCCCCTGCACACCCAACCGCCCCAGTCCCTGGGCCCAGAATGCTCCAGCTTAGCTGGACAGTGTTCCCTGGAAACTGTCACAGGCTCCAAACAGGATACAATAAGAACACAGCTCCAGCTGCAAACTCAAACAGCAGCTCCACTTTAAACCACAGTGTTGGATAAATCCTTCGACGGTCCCATATTCTAACAATTAGGGATCAGGAAACTGCTGCAAGCCTTCCCAAACTAAACAAGCAAACTTTTCACACTAGTCTGCTCAGAAAGGAATCAACACAAATATTAAAACTTCCAAGATGTTTGACTCAGGGTCACCTCCCTGCAGATTTCTCTGTCCCTCTCGTTATTAACACACACTCTGTCTCTCTCTCTCTCTGCGTTTCTCTATTCCTTGAAGTTATGTGTTTCTCTCCTCCGTGGCTTTCCCTCTATCTCCTGCTTCCATCTCTTTCTCTCCATCCTGTTCTGGCTACATTCCTGCTTTCTTTTCACATTTCCCTCTCACACTCCTCCCTTTTCCTTCCTTTCCATGCTCTATCCCTCTCCTGTCTTGTCTTCCTCTCCACCTTTCACTTACCCCTCCCTCCCTCCCTCTCTGTCTCTCACCCCGAGCCCTCCCTCAGTACCTGGGATAGACTGCGCCAACTCCATCGCCAGGACATCGTTCTCTCTCTCTGCCGTTTGAGACCACGGGTACAAGCATTAGCCAGAGCTGGGGGCTGTTAGAGTGAGGTTTTAGATTTCAGAACCAGTCACTGGTCATCGATCACGATCAACAAGGAGCTGTCTTCAACAATGTTGACACAATTTCTTCATGACATTAAGCAGTTTCTGCTCTCTTGTTTCCCATTCCTTCCTTCCCTTGAGATTAACTGCGAGACCACAACATCGACACACACCCTATGCCTCTCTCTCGCTCTCTCTGACAGCTCCCCTCAGCAGGCTCTCAGCTGACACCACTCACTGCTGCCTCAAACCTCCCTCTCTCTCTCTCTCTCTCTCTCTCCAGCTCACAGTGAAACCAGCTCCCAGAGACGATCAGCAAAGCAACCCTTAACCCTTTCTCCGCTCACTGGACGCTACACTGCAGCCATTCCCAGGCCAGTGCTGGACATCACAGAACCTATGTAGCCAGAGGCAACTCACCAGGGACTGGGAATAGACTTTAAACAAAGATTTCAACGATGAGAGTGTGGGCATAAGCTGAGGGAGAGGAGGGGAGAAAACCCCCAGCTTGGGGAGGGGGAGGGGGAGGAGGGGAGAATTCCCTCAGTTTGAGGAGGGAATGAGGGAAGGGACGGAATGATCTCCTTGGGATGGTGACCTGGATCTCTGGAATACTGTACAAGGAAGCATGCAGTCAGTTATCTACCACACTGGGTGCAATAGTTATTTTCTGACTGTTCCTTTTATACCTTGAGATATAGCTCCCTTCATGATTTTGTGGCTGGGTTTATACTGATTTTGGGCAAGGTATTCACAGGATGTGGCGCCACTGGCTAGACCAGTACTTATTGCCCAGAGGACAGTTAAGAGTCAACCACATTGCTGTGGGTCTGGAGTCACATGTAGGCCAGACCGGGTAAGGATGGCAGTTTCCTTCCCTAAAGGGCATTAGTGAACCAGATGGGTTTTTCCAACAATCGATAATGGGTTCACGGTCATCATTAGACTCTTATTTCCAGATTTGTTTTATGTGAAATCAAATCCTACCATACTATAGCAGGATTTGAACCCTGGGTTTCTGGAAGTCTCATGATAATACCACAAGGCCATCACCTCCCCCTTGTAGTCCTCTGGCATCACTGTTATATCTTTTGTCTCAGTAATACCCTCAAAGGGATTTTGTCTGGTCCCAGTGACATAGAACATGGAACAGTATAGCACAAGAACAGGCCCTTCAGCCCACACTGTCTGTGATGACCATGATTCTATTTTAAACTAATCCCAAATCATCATCATAGAATCCCTACAGTGTGGAAACAGGGTCTTCGGCCCAACAAGTCCACACTGACCCTCAGAGCATCCCACCCAGACCCATCCCCATCCCCATCCCCCATAGCCCATAGCCCACCTAATCTACACACCCCTAAACACTACGGGCAATTTAGCATGGCCAATCCACCCTAACCTGCACATTTTTGGACCGTGGGGGGAAACTGGAGCACCCAGAGGAAACCCACACAGACACAGGGAGAATGTGCAAACTCCACACAGACAGTCGCCCGAGGGTGGAATTGAACCCAGGTCCCTGGCGTTGTGAGGCAGCAGTGCTAACCACTGAGCCACGATGCCACCTCCCTGCATATGGTCCATATCCTCTATTCCCTTCCTGTTCATGTGTCTGTCTAAATGCCTCTTAAACGTTGCTACTGTATCTGCTTCAAACATTTCCATATTCCAGGCACCTACCACCCTCTGCGTAAAAAAACTTGCCTTGCACATCGCCTTTATACATTTGCTCTGTTACCTTCAACCTAAGCCCCTCGTACTTGCCATTTCCACCCTGGGAAAAACACTCTATCTCTCTGCCCTATCCGTGCCCTTCATAATCTTATTACTGTTTATCAGGTTGCTGCTCAGCCTCCAATGCTCTAGTGAAAACAATCCAAGTTTGTCCAAACACAAAACATAGTAGAGATCATTGCGAGTCAGGCAGCATCCCATGGAGAGAGAACAAGCTAATGTTTTGAGTCTAGGCGATGTTGAAGAGCCACCTACACTTGAAACATTAGCTTGCTCTGTCTCTATGGATGCTGCCTGATCTACTGTGATCTCTACTATTTTTTGTTTTCAGTGCGGATTCCAGCACCTCCAGTAATTTGCTCCTACCAACTTTATCGAATCTCTCCTCATAAATAAAACCCTCCAGACCAGGCCACCTCTGGTTGCAGCATCTCCAAAGCCTCCACACCGTTCCCATGCTGTGGCAACCAGAAATGCCCACAATACTCCAAATGTAGGGCCCGACAAAAGATGGCTTCACCTGCAGGTGGCCCTATCTAACGTCACCACATTGTCATGTAGTGTCTTACATACTTGTCAAAAATCAGACCACACCCGGTTAGAGTCCAACAGTTTATTTGACGACACAAGCTTTCAGAGTCTCACTCCTTCTTCAGGTGTCACTGAAACTCCATGAGACTCCAAAAGCTTGTGTCTTCAAATAAACCTGCTGGACTATAACTTGGTATCGTGTGACTTTTGACCTTATCTACCCCAGTCCAAATCTGGCACCTCCACATCATGGCTCCCATCTTAAATACTTGTGAATTTATGGAAACCCTACTCAGCATCATCACTCTTGGTAAAGAGCTTCCCCCTTTAATGCCACCTTTGGTGACACAGATACAAAGGGCAGATTCAGTATCTCAGGCAAACCACCACCACCCATTCCCACACACCCCCGCACCCCCCACCACCGCCACTCCCCCACAGTCCCTTACACATGCAGGTCCCATTTATGTTCACAAAGGAAAGACAGAAAGAAGGTTTTCATTGACTTGTACTCACAGTGCTCTCTACATGGTTCAGTGGGATAATAGTGCTGGATGGCTGGAAACAAAAAAACACAAGAAACTAAGTTACATTCCATGGTAGAAATATTCAACTGTGAGAAATCAAACGCATGACACAACGGGACAGCTCAGTCTGTAATTTTTAAAAAATTCATTCACGGGATAAGGGCGTCGCTGGCTAGGTCAGCATTTATTGCCCATCCCTAATTGCCCACAGGGCAATTAAGAGTCAACCTGCTGTGGGTCGGGAGTCACATGTAGACCAGAACAGGTAAGGATGGCAGTTTTCTTCCCTAAAGGACATTAGTGAACCAGGTGGATTCATGGCCATCACTAGACTCTTAATTCCAGATATTTATTGAATTCAAATTCTACCATCTGCTATGGCAGGATTCGAACATGGGTTTACATCATGTTACCTGGGCCTCTAGATTAACAGTCCAGCAATAATACTACTAGGCTGGGATGTGGGGCTACGGAGGTAGGTTTCTGAGGGAGCCGAATGTGAGCCTGAGCAAAGTGAGTTAAATATGGAATTGATTGAGTTTGACCCAAAGGTAGTTGGACTGAGGTGTTTCACTCTCCTATGTAGACACCTGGATTGACAGAAACCATCAATAGACGTCACCTCAAAATACACAGAAACCTCAAGTTGCAAGGGTTCCCTGAAATGGGCAGAACCCCCAAAAAGGATACAGCTGCATTGCAGGATAACTATTCTAACAAAACCCAGTGAGGGACAGGAAGGTCAAAGGGGAAGCAGCCTGAGAAAACAGCAGCAAATAGGATCAAATGGGGGAAATGCTAAACAGGCAAAATCCATTGCTCTTTACATAAGCGCACATCATATTCAGAACAAAATTAATAAATTAACAGAAAATCTCGAAATTATTTAAATGGAGAAAGGCTGCAAAAAGTTTGAAACACAGGCTTAAGGGAATCCTCATGTATAAATTTTAAAAACAGCTAGCATCCAATTTCAGATAACAAGGTGTAGAGCTGGATGAACACAGCAGGCCAAGAGCATCAAAGGAGCAGGAAGGCTGACGTTTCGGGTCGAGACCCTTCTTCAGAAAATGCTGTTCCTCTGATGCTGCTTGGCCTGCTGTGTTCATCCAGCTCTACACCTTGTTATCTCAGATTCTCCAGCATCTGCAGTTCCTACTATCTCAGCATCCAATTTCAACTGTACAAGACACTAATCAGATCGCAGTTGGAATACTGTGAACCGTTTTGGGGCCCCCTTATCTAAGGAATGATAGACTGACATTGGAGGCAGTCTAGAGGAGATTCAAACAGTTGATTCTGGGTATAGAGGGACTGTCTTATGAGGAGAAGTTGAGTAGATTTGGTCTTTATTCATTGGAATTTAGAGCAATGAGAGGTGACCTTACTGAAACATATAAGATTCTTAGGGGCCTTGACAGGGGAGATGTGGAGAGGTTGCTTCCCCTTGTGGGAGAGTCTAAGACCAGAGGGCAACATCTCAGAGTAAGGAGTCACACATTTAAGACAGAGATGAGGAGGAATTTCTTCTCTCAGAGGGGAGTGAATCTGTAGAGTTCTTTGCTGCAGAGGGCTGTCGAGGCTGGGTCATTCAGTATTGTCAAGGCTGAAATAGAGGGATTCTAAGGGAATGGAAGGTTATGGGAAAAAAGTAGGGGTGTTGAGTTGAGGATTTTTAAATTCATCCATGGGATGTGGGTGTCTCTGGCTGGGCCCAGCATTTATTGACCCACAATGCCCTTAGGGAGGGAATTCCAAAGCATTGAACATTTTCAAGAAAGATTTAGATATATTTGTTAGGGCTAAGGGGTCAAAGGGCATGGGAGACTGAGTTGGATGAGCAGCCATGATCATATTGAATAGCAGAGCAGGCTCAAAGGGCTGAATAGCCTGTTCTTGCTACTTTCTCTATGTTTTTGTGTTCAACCCCCAAAAGAAACACTGAAAAAAGCAGAATCCCCAGAATGTCAAAGGTTTGAGTTATCGAGAAAGGTTAGATAGGCTTGGACATCTTTCACTGGAGCGTAGGAGGTTGAGAGATTTATAAAATCATGAGGGGTATAGATAGGGTTAATGGTGGATGTCTTTTCCCTATGGTGGGGGATTTCAAAACGAGGGGGCACATTTTTAAGGTGAGAGCAGAGAGGTTTATAAAATACATGAAGGGCAAGTTTTTTACACACAGTGTTGTTCACGTGTGGAATGAACTTCCTGAGGACGTGATGGATATGGGTACAGTTACAACGTTTAAAAGACACTTAGATAAGTACATACATAGGAAAGGTTTCAAGGGATATGGGCCAGGAGCAGGCAGGTGGGACTAGTTTAGTTTGGGAACATGGTTGGCATGGACTGGTGGGACCGAAGGGACTGTTTCTGTGCTGTCTGACTCTATGATACACAAAGTCCCAGATATTTAAACAGCCTCAATATTTAGTGAGAAAGCTATTAAAGTTGCCAACTTAGGAATCATCTATTATCGCAGCGTTAGTGGACTGCAAGACATATTAAATACAGTTCCACAACAGAGACTGTGAACTATGCTCAAAGCTCCAGGGATTGTTGACGGATTGTGGAAATGGTTTGGGACCGGTGGGTTGTACATGTCAAAAATCAGGATTCACACATATACACACACTTTCATTGGATGAAGTGTCGGACAGTGTCTTACAGAGTTAGTGCTGGTATCCCAACCAACCAGTATATTGCTTAGTGACTCCAAAAGCAGAACAATGAGCCATGTTATGAAGGGTGCAGACAGCACCAATTATCCAGTGATAAATGATCATGAATCCTCAAAACTATGGCAGATTGGTTTCAACACAGAGAGGATTGAGCTCATCTGCTTTGAGCTCAAAACTGGATCCCAGTATAATTATGCTGAAAAGCTAATTGCACTGGAGATCCAAAGAGATTCAAGGGATCAAGTACAACAAACAACAAAATGTTGTGGTTGGAGGAAAAAAATACATGAAAATTGCTCAGGGCTTGGTAATGGCTAGAATTTGGGCACTTTCCACAGAAAGATTTTCTTTATTCATTCACGGGATGAGGGTGTCGCTGGCTCAGTCAGTATTTATTGCCCATCTCTAATTGCCCAGAGGGCAGTTAAGAGTCAACCACATTGCTGTGGGTCTGGAGTCACAAGTAGGCCAGACCAGGTAAGGATGGAAAATTTCCTTCCCTAAAGGTCATTAGTGAACCATATGAGATTTCACAGTTATTATTAGACTCCTAATTCCAGATTTTTATTGAATTCAAATTCTACCACCCACCATGGCAGAATTCGAACCCAGGCCCCCGGACATTACACAAATATCTGGTATATTACCTGCAATAATAGGACTAGGCCATCACTGATTGTGGAACGGGTTGGCTCAGCAGAATACAATGATATAACATGTTCGAATGTCGGATTTATGATCTGGGCCTGTATTCTCCAGAATATAAAATGTCAAGGGTTGATTTGATTGAGGTTTCTAAAGTTTTGAAAGGCGTTCATAGGAGAGATAGTTTTCACAAAGTCTCAGACCAAGGGGGCATGACCACAGCTAAGTCATTGAGGGGAGTGAAGAAAATGCTTCTTTGCACAAAGAGTGGTTGACGTGAGGACCTCTCTCGCTCAAAAAACCAGATGTTGACTCACTTCATTATTTCGATTGAAATCAATGGGCTTTTGCTGCACAGAAAGTGATAGGCCATTGGGTGAAAGCAGGTGGGCTGCAGTAAAGACAGAGCAGTCATGATCTCACTGGATTAGAACAGCCTCGACGGGCTCAAAGGGAAGTTCCCTTCATGTCCTCATTACATGGTCATCCCAAAAACACCACCACCTCAATCACCATCATAACCTCAGTGTATACAGTGACCCCAATACACACAGGCATCTCTATATACACATTGACCCTAATATAGAGAGGGACCCCAATATACAGTAACCCTGATATACACAGCACCCCCAGTATGCATAGAACCCCTAAAATACACAACAATCTCAATATACAGTGATCCCAAAATACAGTAACCCTAATTCACACAACACTCCTAATATATGCAGCAATCTCTATATACACAGAGCCACCAGTATACACAGAGACCCCAACATACAAGGCATTCCCAAATAGACAGTGACCCCAATATACACAGCAACCTCAATATACATGAACTTCAATAGACACAACACCCCATATACACACCACTCCCATTATATACAGTAATCTCAATATGTACAGCAACCTCAATATGCACAGTGACCCCACTACACAGAATGACCTCAGTATACAGTAATCCCAATACACACAAAGACCTCACTATATACTGTCACAACTCAAGTGGGAAGTGTGCACTAGTAATTGAGTCTCACTCTTCCACAGGATGTTAGAATTGTGTAGCTACCCAATTAAACCACCAAAGTGATCAATTTTGGTCAGATTGCAATTCAGGACAAAAGCTCCTATGATGCTGCTTGGCCTGCTGTGTTCATCCAGCCCTGCACCTTGTTGTCTCAAAAGTAATTCACACCAGGTTTCATCATCAACAGAAAATAACTCTAAGTATTTTAAACAATAGTCTTTACAAATGGATAAAAGTGCATTATTGATTTACTGCTGTGTAACTTAAACTATTACCCTTTAAAAACCCAACAAACAAACACAAATAAAACAGGCAACAAACAAACCCTTTGACACAAATACTGTGCAGAAAAGTATAGACAGGGGAAACCGGTCTCTGTCAAACTCCAGACCACAATACGGAGAGTTGCTCCTTCCAGCTCTTTTGATTTTCACCATGATAATACATTGTTGACTGTCGAGTAATGGTCAATCTATGATTCAAATGCTGATCAGTTGAATCCAGGTCTTTTTGTATATTAGAACTCTCTCTGTAAAGCCTCCAGGTTTTTTTTTGTCTATTTCACTCAGAGAGAGGGATAGTCAGAGATGCGTGTTGGTTTCAGGCTTTTGGATATCTCAGAGTGCACTATAATCATGAGGCTGTAACTAACTACAGTTGGACCAATCCAAAGGCTGT